AAATCGCTGATCAAATTCCTGTTGGAGATTTTCAATTGTAGTAACATATTGATCAACAGCAAACAGAGAGGTTTTTGTTGGTAAACTGTGTTTTCCATAACTGCAGCTTTATGGAGAATGCCTTCAGTTTCAGATTGAGCTTGTTCAGCTCCTGTGTCATATCAACCAAAAATGCTAAGTCCATAACCCATTTGGGATCATCCAGTCTTTCATCCATCAGAAATGTCCTGACTTCCTGCCTCTGTTCATAGAACCTCTTCAGGACATTGCCCCTGCTCAGCCAATGTAGCTCTGTAAAGTACAGGACATCACCATACACTGCTCCTATTTGCGCTAAAAAAGCATGAAACTGGTGATGCTGTAAGCCCCTTGATCTGATGTAATGAATGCACTTCACCACAACTGGCATACCATTGTCAAATTTCAAGCATTTGCTGCAAAGTGCCTGCTGATGAATAATGCAAAGCAAAGGAATAGCAGGATCTGCATTTTCTTCTTCTAGTTTTCTTTGTATTAGTGCCACTAGCCCATTTTTTTCTCAGTCATTGATGGGGCACCATCTGTGGTTTTTCCAACCAGGCTGTCCCTGAGCAACTCTTCAGTCACTTCAAAATGGTCATTAATTCCTCTGACAAATACACCTAACTGAGCAGTGTCATTTATGTCAGTGCTCTCATCAAGAGCCAATGAATAAAAACAGGACTTTGTAGCCTTATTGCACAACTGCTCATAAATACTATTTGACAAATCACCAATCCTCTCTGCCACTGCATTTGCTGATATGCTGATGTTTCTGAATAGATATGCCTTCTCAGAGCAAAGGATATCAGCCACTTTTACCATACAATCTTTAAGAAACTGATTGTCAGTAAATGGGTTTCCTGCTTTTGCAATCTGCTCACTCACCACATAGCTAGCCTCAACTGTTGCATCACATTCCTTTTTGCCCACTTGAAGAGGGTTTGCTGCATTTGCAGGCCGTTCTGCAGTCACATCCCCGCCCCTCCTCACTACTTTCCCATTCACAAAATGCCTTGTATTTTCTTACAAGACATTTGGTGATTGAAGGAGGGGGCAGGGATGTGACATCATCTCTCCTTCTGAAGTGTGTGTGGAGCTGACGCCCTTCCTGAGAAGATGGTTCACCACACATGCTTTAGAGAGTTAGCTTGTGACAAAGAAGCAGAGGCTTGTGACATTCGCTCTTACATTAACAAAGAACTTGCAGCTACTATACCCTCAACCACAAAAAATGGCCTTGTTTCTCACATGTAGAACTTAGTCCATCACCTAGACTTACGACAAGAAGAAATGACTCCGAGCAGGGCTCACATTCTGATGAAGAAATTCTACCACATTTCAAATCCTTTGATTTATCAATGGTGCCTTTTTTGGTTAAATCTATTAAGGAAGAAATTGGATGGGAGGAGTAGCTCCTCCCCTGAAAGTGCTAAGAAGATATTATCCTGGTTTGAAGAAGGAACCCCCAAACTTTTCCTTCATGCTTGAGATGTGGAAAACAATATGGGTGGACAAAAAGCAACTTGCATAATAAGGTTATGTTAAATAAAGCGATACCCAATTGCCACAAAAGATGCATGAATTCCTCCTGGCATACAAGTTGTACTGTATTATTTCTATATGATTTGGTGTCCTTCAAGCATATGATGGATAGTGATAGTGAACACCCCCCAGTTTGGTTCGAATTTGAACATTCGAACATGGAAAAAGTTTGAATTCAAACTCGAACTCAAAGCAAGTCCATGGGGGTAGAACTTTGAAAATCCTTGACCCAATTTTAAAGGCTTATTTGCAAGTTAATGGCCATAAAAAAGGGTATGGGGATTCGGGTACTGCCCTGGGGGACAGTCTGCAGCAAAAATTAAATTAAAAAAAAAATTTAATTTAAAAAGAAAAGAAAAAAACAATCACTCGGCCTACATATTCCATCTGGTTGCCCAAATTATTTAAGTGTTTCTCAGACTTCATAGGGAGTATGTGTCAGCCATTGCAATTCTGCCTTTTTGGCCCAAAATGCTGTGGTTTTCATTGTAATAGAAAATAAAGGTCGAGTCACCAATTATGTTACCAATCATCCCAGATCTACTACTGCAGGTCAAGCGTCAACATCCAGACAAGCGGTGTCTCAGTTTGATGGCATGGAAATTCAAAGGAGAGATTTAAAGTCCTAAATATCTCAGATTCTGTTATCAACACATTACGTAGGGCCAGAAAATGATCTATGATTTTAAAGTGACACTATTAAAGTGACACTAAACTCCGGAGTTAAATCTTAAAAATGCATTCAAGTACCCTAACTATTAACAAAAAGGTACCTTATTTGTGTATCACTCAGCTGTAGATCCCCAAATCATCTCTGAATTGGTGCTGATACTGTCCTTCCTTCTGAAGGGCTACTTTCTTCCCAATGGTCTCTGTGTGGACTACAATCTCACGTTTAGTTTACTAATTTGTATTGAGAGTGCAGTCCATCACAGGAGCAAGCTTGGAGCGGTGAATACTTTGCAACACACAAAAGGACCATGGGGAGCAAAATGAGCCAGAAGGAAGGACAGTGTCAGCACAAATTCAATTTTACATTTTACACTATTGCTTAGCAATACTGTTCAATTTTACATTTTCTAAGCCTGCTGTGACCGGCAGAATATTTTTTTTTTAAATAGCACATCAAAGAACACAGGGCCAGACCTAGACTGTGGGGTTATATTCAGGTACCATCAGGTGATTGGACACTGGCAAACAAAGCTGTAAGCCATATTACTCTTCCTATTCCCAGCACTGCTCTGTTTTTTTGAGTAATGGATGTTTCTCTTTCTGCAAAGAAACAAACCAATCAGTTGACTGATCAGGAGAGCCTTGGGCTGCTGTAGGTGTACATCACTGGACAGAAGATGCAGGGCCAGCCTGTAATGTTGCTTAGGGCACTGGATTCTGCATTGTTCACTTACCTAGAAACATAGTCTAATGTGTTGAGTTATACTATACAGCTCTAAGGCCTGCTGGTGTGACCCTCTCTCTGAAGACTATGCAAGAAGAGCCTGATGAGAATGCCCTATGTTGGGCAATGCCTCATTGGTGACTCCTTGGACACTTACATCAAGGAAGTCCCTGGGGGAAAAGTATCCCTTCAGGTTTCTACTCAAATCTTTTCACCGTCCCCAAAGCAAATGGAGGCATTCGCCCCATTCACAATTTGAAAACTTTTAACAGGTTCCTTTGCACTGTGGGTGCACAAAATTACCAATTTGTTGCTCTTTCCTTTAGCCTTTCCAGGGCATCTCAGGTGTTACCCAAATTACTAGTTTAAGTTATGAACCGCTATATAAGTTTTCAAAATTACAAGTATATGGTTCTGAGGATTCAATCATGTGATTTTTGAGCTCAACACAATAACAGAAATGCATTGGTATATAGTATCAAGACTTAAATACAGCAAACCAACAATATATTTAACTACAAAATACAAAGAAAAGATTTATGCATGCAAAATACACAGATATTGATATATAAGAGACAAGCGATAGACATACATTTAAGTGGGGAAAGAGTACAGGCATATTTACCCATTAATCATCACATGAGGGGCCCATTATGGTGGTCTAAAAGACTAGCTTTTCTCTTCCTGCCCCTTGATTGATATACCTTTGGTGCTCATAAGGATGCATTGAGAGCCATTGATTGGTGGCCTCCCAATGCCTAATTTCATCAGATTAGAATTCTTCATTGGGGATTGGATGTTTCCAAATACCCTTTGTTAGAACTTCTAACCCCTTTCTATGCAAATATTTTAAGATGAGCGGGAAATTCCAGATGGGCAGGTGTCCCGAGTCTAATCCCAGGTCATGATTTTATCTATACCAGGGGGACAATCTAGTTGTTTACTACATAGAAGAATCTTTTGATGGTCTTAGTCAGAGACAAAAGAATGTATGCACCTATTGTGAGAATCAAGGGTCTCGGCTCCAAAGTGTTCATGGATCTCATTGTCTCTTGTCTTGACCATTTACCATCAACAGGCTACACCTGGACAGATTCATAATTATATTTACAGTTCATTGATATGCAACTCCCCTGGACAGTGATAACCCACAACAAAGAACAAACTTAATTACAAGTTCCCATCACCTCATGTGGAATATTTAAAAACAAAAATAAAACTATATACATATGTCTTATGACGATTTAACATAAAGTCATAAGGTAACACAGGTCTTCACCATGATGTTAGTGCCCATCCTAGCTTTTCTCCCAGGGCACCCCCATTGTGATTACCTGGACGATATGCTCCTTAAAGGAACAATTAGTTTAGACTCTGCCAGCCAATGTTTGATGGACAGTGCAGACTCTGCAGAGATTCACTATTGGGATCTGCAGGAGCCGCTGTGTCCTAGTGCAATTAAACATTATAAATTGGCACTTGTGACTCAAGTCACTAACACCGTTTATTATTTAGGTATAGGTTTACATTAATTTGTGTCCATCTTAAGGTAAAGTACCAATGCTTGACAAATTCTGATTGTAAAATCCAATTGAAAATGTACAAAATATGAAAAAAATAGGTGCATATAAAGTATGACTGAAAACTACAATCACCTTGAGAGCAAAGAAATAAAAATTCAGTGGTCTGAAAATCGTGTTTGATATGACTTAATTGCAACCTGTGTGTAATATTTTTATGACTTTGAATGACATTCACTATAATAATGAGCAGAATTGTATGATGAGAAGTTATATTACCGTGTATTATAACTTTATGTATCATTAATTAAACAAAATATATGCAGCGTGCAGTGCCACAGCATGAAATACCAATTTGTCAAGAGAAATTAAATGAAACAAATGTAACATTTGCGACTAGCATCAAGTATTACATCAAGAATAAATGCCTGTGCAACTTTTTTCCTTGTTAGCGATTATCACTGCCATAGACTACACCCTAGAAAATTAACCTGGTTCTATTATTCATCATTTCATTGCAGTATTCTTGGAATGCATATTTTTGGATGTAAATTCAGCCTAAGGACAGATTCCGGAGACACTGTACCTGATCGGAAAAACTTTGACTCTCTACTGTGGGCTATTGTAACAGTCTTCCAGGTTTGTTCTCTATTTCTTTGTATTCTGTTCTAGAATCAAATTTAAGTGTACCTTTGCCTGTTTTATCATTATTCCTACACTCTTAAATACTTTTAGTATTATCAACATAATACTGGTTGGAATTATGGGAATGACAGTAGATAAACGATCACATGAAACATTCTAAAGCAGTCAGTACTTTGACTTCCTTGAAGTGGAAATAAAAATATTCATCAAGTGGAGTCAGAATTATTCATATGCATGCTTGTTGCAGGTTAGTGACTTAAAAGGTACATTAGCGTGACAGCCAGTAGACTAGCATTTTCAGAAGGAGAGGTTGGCAACAAGTTGCATATTCTTGATTAGAGGAAAATAGTTTTCCCCAGAAGTGGTTCTAATGGGCATCGCACATCAATGGCTACTAATATTTATTTGTAAAATACCATGGACTTTGATGATTTTTTTTATTCTGTTGGTGCTTTGTATGATTTTTTTCTCCTTCTGGATCAGCTGCAGGGTTAGGAATTTAAGGAGGAGGGCTATTGCTTTTTTTTTCTGCTGAACTCAATGAAGATATTTGAAATCTGTAGGTCTTTTATGTTGGAATACTCTGCCTTTCTTTCTCATAGATGGTCAACTTATGGTAAGCTGCCTTGTTGAGGTTAGAGGGATTGCCCATATCAGGAAAGATAAATGCTTTGCTGCCTGGAGATTGCATTCATGATAGGGCTCATTTACAACAGCCAGGTTGGGATACATTGGGCACCATTTCCCAATGCAGTCCCAATGCAGGTCCTATTTCCTTTTACAGAAGTTCACACCAATGTGCTTTGTTGGTGAGCACTAAAAAAGTGTAGGACATGTTGAATTTTTGTGCAATATGATATAAGGCATCACAGCTCATGCCACACATAGCAGAAAATGTACTTTCGAGTTTCAAAAAGTAAAAAAAAAAAGCAATGCAATCCATTGAACAATTAATTGCAGTGCACAAGCAATAGGTCCATGTTATGCGTATCTTAACGCATGCCTGCTGGTGTGAATGGATCCTTAAAGTCATCCATGTCAGCCTGGGCTTAGCAGAAATGCCTAAAACCTACCACCTACATTGGGGAGGAGCAATACAGGACAGTATTGGTGGGGATGATCACATAACTAAGACTTAAGAAGCATGGGAAAAGGCAATAATACCACTTTTGTGCTTCATAAAAAAAAAAATCTGAATAGACACAATAGAATGAATGTTGATATACTGCCAGAAAATGGGCCCCTTGAGTCAGAATGCATTTAACATGCTGCTGAGGAAGAGCTAAGAGCTTCTGAAAGAACAGCTGGTGTTGCTGTCACAACATCACTAAAACCCTTTGACTGATGTTGCCATAGGAAAAAAGAAAATTCAAAGCTGTAAAAACAGACTCACCATAGCAGCCTGGAATGAGCAGTGCATAGACACAAGGACTATTGGACATAGTGAAGATGATAGAAACTCAAATGAACCAACTTAGGACACTTTCAAACAGAAGACCATACAATTTACTCTTCTACTTATATAAAACAACTTTCATCGGAAATAATACCATGAATAATAAGCAGATGTCAATTAACATCATTCAACATCACAGGTAAACAAGTTTATTCCCCTACAACTGATGCACATGAAGAAATAGTCTGATTGTTTTATGATCACACTCAGGTTAAAATTTAAAGGCTTAGTCCACCTTTTAGAAAAAATTAAAAAATAAATGCACACAAGGTAGGAAAAGAGAGGGAAGGAAATGTGATTGACTGACTCACTACAGAGGAAAAGTGAATTTAAACATGCTTGAGACAAATACACATCTATACTTAGACAAACAGGTAAAAAAAAGGATAGTCAGTGGACCACATCAGTGGAACGTGGTAGTAGACCACCACTACCACGTTCTTTTTCTGCTATCACTCTTCTATGTTTCTTTATGGTCACTGTCAAAATGCCACAGAAATTGATAATCTAGCCTCAGAATTAGAGCAAGCACCCATAAGAAACTCAAACAAAGTGCTAAACAACTTTTGCCAATAGCGTTGGAAATGCACTCAAGTAAGGGGATCTGAAAAACTCCACAAGCTATCAGACAATTTCCTTGATATCACACATTGACAAAATTATAGGGAAGATTATTCAACATCGACTAGAGCATAACATTGAAAGAGAAGTACCAGGCATACAATCTAGATTCAGGAAAAACAGAAGAACTAGAGACATTATTGCAGATGCACATTGATTAATTAATAAAGCCATGGACTACAAGAAAGAACTCAACATGTTTTTTATTGATTACAGTAAAGCCTTCTATTGAGTTAACCATATGACATTATGGAAGTCCTCAGAAAAGTGAGCGTACATCTGTATTCTTATGAAAAGCCACTACACTGATCAAGAAGCCATAGACATGACAGGAAATTAAAACACAGACAGTTCCAGATGGGCAAAGGGGCATACTCTTACCATACTTAATTATCCTGTAAGCTGAACATATAATGAAAGAAGCAACACTGGTGGAAGATAATAGAGATTTGAAGACTACTTGAAGAAATGTAAATAATCCTTGGTATGCCAATGACTATGCTGACAGCTGAAACATGGCCTCATAAAGAAAGTTAAAGCGTATGTCTGTGCAAAATAAAAATAAAAAACACACTCAGTTCATCTCTCTAATACATGAACACTTTCCCATGTTTTTTCCCTTTAAAAACACTGCAAGTGCAGAAAATATTGTTGATAAGAACTTTCTGTCTGAGCTGACAACAAAGCCTCTGCCAGTGCTTTCAGTCCTGTTATGCCCTGCTGGACTCTGTTTCATGGCGGTGAGGAGTACGGGATGGTGGTCTGTACTACAGCAAGGGAAAACTGGCCAGGGCTGATAGCAGTGTTTGCGATTTCAGTGCACTAAAGGCAGTGCTTTCAATTTACTACATAAAGTAAGAGCTCATTGGATATTTGCATATATCTTTGATTTTTTTATAATTTATATTTTAAAAAGGTTAAAATGTGGGGGAATGTGCATATCTTGCACAAATGTATTGTATATTTTTTATTTTGCCCAGGCATTAACTTTAAAGAACAGAGCAAAAATATGGGACTTCAGTTAAACATCAAGAAAACCAATGTTATGACAACACATAATACAGTTATCTGTGATGGTGAATAGTCAGAAGTAGTAGACAGCTTCTGCCTCTTTGGATCAATTATTAACAAAGGTTCTAGCAATCAAGAAACGTGATGCAGACTGGCACTTGGAAGAGAGAGGATAAAAGACCTAAAAAAGATCTTCAAATGTACTGATGGGTCTATAAGAAAAAAAAGTTTAGAATTGTTTAGGTTATGGTATTTTCTGTCACTTGCTATAGATGTGAAAGATGGACAGTGAAGAGGCAAGAAAGGAAAAGTACTGATGTAATTGAACTGTTCTGTAAGATTTCTAAGATTATTGTGTACAGCAAGGAAAACAAACAAATGGAACCTTCAACTAATCAAGCTTAACCTGTTACTAAAAGTCCAATTAACTAGACCAAAGCTAACTTGCTAAAAATGCTTTGAAACATAGAGGGAATAGATCAAGAAAGAGGTCAACCAGCAAAAAGATGGTTCTATGCAATCACAGAATGTATGAACATGCCATTGCAAAGACTCAAAAACCATATTGAAGACAGATTATTCCTAATAAAAAATGATGATCTAGTTTAAACTCCTTTAATTATGAGTTCTGCTTAAAAAAAGCTTTGATTTTTTTAAAATCCCTTTGACATTGTTTGCCTGCAGTCTATTAGAAGACATTTGTATACTTTTTTATTCTGCTAGACAACACATTCATACGGCAGCCAAGATTTGTAATGCATATAAATATGCATAATTCTCCAGTATATATTTGCATACATACGAAAATCATTGTGTGGGCAGAGTTCCCAGAGGAGACGTTTGAAAACCCCAGAGATATGGCTCTTATTTTTGGCTCCTCTTGCAGTGCACTTTACTAAGTAATGGAAAGTAACACACACCTACGGCAAGCAATCTGCCTTTACCTTCGGTTCCAGCATTGTAAGTCACTGCGAATAAGAAAAACATTTGGCTATCACAAATCCCTCTATCAGGAGCCTTACTAAATCCCTATGGGCCCTGAATACAAAATATGAACGGAGGCCTTATTATTAATAGCATACACCTTGCAGATTCAATCTGTGATACTGTGATGAAGTTATTCACGGTTTTGGCATCTGGTCATGGACACATGTCTACTAGTAGTTACATTTCTGTTTGCAATGTATTTGTTACACTTTTGGCTATTGCTCTAATACATTTTGTATTTGTACTGATTTTGTATGTTGTGTTTGTTTCAATAAAGACGGTTGAATAAAAAAAAAAATAACATGCACCTCTATTTTTCACTGCCAAATGCATATCATAACATTTACACCTCTGGTAAATTAACAACCTGTAGACAACTGCAGGGAGGACATTCATTTTAGTTCTTTTTTTTGCAGCTGGAGCTCCCTCTGGAGGTCACTGATCTCCAGAGGTGGACTGCACAGTGCTGCAGAGGGACCCCAACATTTGATTGGTTAGCACTGGGATCTGCATCTTTAACCCTTTCACTGCCACCTCTGTAGCTCTGTTACGGTGAGGCAGTGGAGGGATGAAAACAAGCCTGCGGCCACAAAAGTGGCTGTGGGTTTGTGTTCTGTTAATAAGACATTGCTGCAGAAGTAGGTGACTGTACAGTCACCTGATAACAAATGATATGCCATTGCCACTACTATGCTGCCCCTCTTGCTCCTTCCCTCTGCAGATTCCTAAGCTCACCTGGCTCTTCTGTTTGCCCAGAATCATCATGGAGGGATTCTGAATGCTGAGTGATTCAGGATTCCAAGTTAGTGGAGGAGATGGAGAACATTCACTTCCCAATTTCTTTGTTCAGAACTGTGCACTTGTGGGTGTAGAGCTATCAGACTCCTAGCACAAGAAGCAGCTTAGGGATGGGAGGAAT